TTATTTCCCAGATGTATGTGGGAGCTATGTGCTATTTTATTTCCCAGATCTAGACTTTTTTCTTTTGGGAACCGGGCTATGACTCCCGTGTATCTGCTTGCCCTGGATACTACCCAAGATATGACATTAACCCCAGTTTGGCAGCAGGCATCCCACCCCGCTCCTCCTGAGAGCCTGCCTCTCCGGTGCTAGTACAGGATGGGCAGAAGTAGATACCTACACAATCTGTCCTCTTCAGGTCACTGATCAAACTCTGTTCTGTGCTCGGTTGTCCTAAGTTTTGCCTCAAGTGGCACAGTTGCCTGCTTATAGAAGATGAACATAATTTCTAAGGGCCGAGAAACATTTTAGATACACAAAGCCTGCACCTGGCTACAATCTCCCTGCAACCTCTGCAAGAGCAGTCATTAAACCTTTGCTTGAGTACTGTTAAGACAGGGACTGGACTCCTTTTCAGGGCGGCCCATTCCACTGTTAGATTACACAACTAGCCAAAGCCTCCTTAATTTTAACTGAGACCTGTCTTCCTGATGATTCAATTATCCTAATTTCCACCTTGAAGCCACACAGATCACAGAGTATTTCTCTGTCCCTTCATAGGATCTTTCTCTCTCTTCCTTCCTCCCTCCCTCATCCTTTCTTTATTTCTTTCCTTCCTTCCTATATTTCATGCTCTATATCAATGTTCTCTTCCACAGGGTAAATATCTCCAGGTTTGCCTTTTATTTTATTTTTAGTTTTTAAAATTTTTAAAAGATTTTATTTATTTTATTTTTTAAAGATTTTATTTTATTTGACAGAGAGAGACACAGCGAGAGAAGGAAAAAACACAAGCAGGGGGAGTGGGAGAGGGAGAAGCAGGCCCCCCACTGAGGGGGGAGCCCGATGCCGATGCCGGGATGGATCCCAGGATCCCGGGATTATGACCTGAGCCGAAGGCAGACACTTAACCGACTGAGCCACCCAGGCGTCCCAAGATTTCATTTTCTTATGGCTAATGTTCCATTGTGTATACACACACACATATATATACAAAAATTAAGAATTGCTTGGAGTATGGGTATGTGTAGGCAGCCAAAGATGTTCATTGAAATACCATGCAAACCATAAGACCACCTTACGCCATGGTTCATTTTCTTTAATTTAAATTTTAAATTTGTATTTTAAAATTATTTTGCCTTGAAATACAGAAAAGTAAATCTTAATTGAAAAAATCTTGCCTGCAAAATGTATTTCTGCCTTCATAATAATTACTTTAGGAATTCGAATCACCTGTTGCTAATGTGAACTAAAGGTCCTTGGAACCACAATACATATCTTGTATAGCTAAGTAAATTGTAGGCAGTTAATAAGTTATTGAGAGAGGAATGTTTTGCTTGATTTTAAGGAGAAGTGACGCTCCAAAAAAGTTTAAATGGGGATGTCCAGTTGAGTAACAAATGTGGGCAAAACCTTAGATAGAAGCAAGAGAGCCCTCCTTCGCTGTCTGCATAGGAATCCCTGTTTCTGAACCTAATTAAGGGGAACACTAAAAACTAATGATGTACTGTATGGTGACTAACATAACATAATAAAATAAAATAAAAAAGCGGGGGGAACATTTGGAGCTGGCCCTAGGGCTGCACAGTTACTGGTTTAAACAACGGCGCTTTACTGCCACCTTCTGGGCAAATAGGGTATGTTACAAGCTCATTAGGAGTGAGGTCAGGCTTTAGGCTGTGCCTGTGGCAGATGAAATAAATGTCTTACAAGTCATACTAAGATGTTTGTTTGTATTGTAACTCACAAAAGATAATTTTTTTAACACATCGCGTTTAAATGCTTCTAGGAGGGAGGCAGGATTATGGTTAAGAGAATAGAATGGAGGTAACAGTTAAGAAGAATATAAAAATAACCCACTAAAACACGATGAAGACTTGCACTAAATAAATATTCATGGGTTTAATTTATCCTTAGGACGAAATAAGAAGTATATAAAAGTTGCATACTGAAATTGAGTTTGAGCGAGAAAAGAGAATATGACGTTGACTTTAATTAAACCAAAACACATGAAGGAGTACATTTAGAAAGAAAAAACAGGACTCAGATTAGCGCTATTGATTTTAAAGATTCTATGAGCCCATGAAATTCAGATATGTAGGATCTGATACTAAGTTTACGGATACAGCCTGATCATGTGAACATGTGAGTTGGAAGCATATAGATAATAGAGTGATTACGGAGGTGAGCGGGATCAACAAGTAGAGAATACAAAATAAAGGGAATGTGACAGAGGAGTTCAAAATTCAAAACAGCTGCCAGAGAGGGAGAGTGGGCTCAGGCAGTGGCGGCCAGAGCGAGGAATGCCAGGGGGGAAGCTCCTTTCTTGTTGGCAGTGAGAGGATACGTGCAGCGATGGGCAACGTTTAGAGGTTGTGCTGGAAGGAGGGAGGTCTTGTATTTAGATAAATATGCTGCCCTCCTTTCCTTCTTTGGAAACGTCTACTGTCAAATGACAGAAAAATGTCATTATTAAAGTCCCTTTTACTGTTGTGAATAGTACATGTAAGTAAATGCTTTATTATCCACTGAAAAATTTTGTATTATTACAGAACACAAGTCTTATCCTTTGAAATTGTTGTTGTTTTTTAAAAGATTTATTTATTTATTTTAGAGAGAGAGAGAGAGAGAGAGAGAGCACATGCTTGGGCAGGGGGAAGGGCAGACAGAGAAGGAGAAAGAGAATCCTCAAGCAGACTCCCCACGGAGCATGGAGCCCCATGTGGGGCTTGATCTCAGGACTCTAAGAGCATGACCTGAACCAAAATCAAGAGTCAGTCACTTAACGGACTGAGCCACCCAAGTGCCACAGGAATTCTTTAAAACAGTAGAATAATGACTCTAAATACATTGACTAATGTACTCTAGACTTCAGAAGGTATCAGAGGAAAATCTAAGTACAATGATAAAGATAAAGCTGACTTCAACCTTCAGATAATAGGTAGTAGAGTAAACAGATATACTTCCTACTTGAAAAGACAACAAAAAATCAGGCAAAATATATGAAACAATGATACTAGACATCAGGCACTGAAGGACGCTGATTCCAGAGAGATGAGAAATAAATATGGTGAGCTCCATGATTGATCTTGGTTTCAGCATTGTAAGGGATTTCCAGAACAGGAAAGAGGAGCCCAGATGGAGCAAGTGGATTCCCTGAATTGAGGAGACAGAGCGGAGAGGAGAGAGACCAATGTGGCTATGGTTCGCAGGACCACAGCATGAAAGAGCTGGACAGAAACCTCAGCATATCGCTGACTGGTGCTCGTGTGTGAGGAAACTACCCAAAGCCAAGAAAAAACTGGAGAGCATTAGCGATAACAGAGCCCAGATCTCATATAGGGCCTGTAATAGTGCCTGTTCCTGTTAGCCACACTAGAAAAACTTAAAATTCATGGAACATTGAGTGGAGTACCCAAGAGGAGCTTGCCTCAGTAACGAGCAACAGTTAGCCACTTAGTGAATACTGCACTGGTCCCACCTAACAACTCTTAAAAGTAATATCCCAGTAATATCCCAGAGGGTCAGACTGTTTCCAAGTAACTGATCCGTGTCTCAGAAAAAAGCTCAAGACTATTTCTACAAATATCAAAATATTCAGAACAAAACAAGATAAAATTAATAAAATTATGAATTCATAGATTCACTCACAAAAATTCATATCTTTGGATGTCATCCATCATGAGAAGAAAATCAACCATCCCAGAGTTGACACAAATATTTGAATTAGCAGTCATAAAAATAGTCATTTAAACTATATTCCAGATGGCAAAAAAAGTTAGAAACATGAAAGATAGATCAAACTTGTAGAGATGAAAATGAAAATGTTTGAGATGAAAAATCTACTGCATGACACTCATGGCAGTTTAATCATTACAAGAGAAGAGACTTGTAAACATGAAGTCAGAGCAATAGTGTTAGAAAACAATCCTCCCTGCAGTTCTTGCTGTTCCTGCCCCCGGCACTTAGAAGAGTAGAAAAAGACATACCATCAAGATAGAGAATATTTCATTTCCCCCAGAGCAATTTGCTTTTCACAGTCTAAAGATGATAGGCCAAAGGTGATTTTTCCCTTTTTTGCTGGAGCCCTGTGTCTGTCTGCCTTATAATTGGCATAGTAGTCAAGGTCAAAGAACTAACAGAACAGGTAAGTGCTCTTGACCACAGTCTTACAAGAATATTCAGAGGCAGAAGAGATGCTCTTCCTAAGCCAGCAGGGAGCAAGCTGGCTGAGGGGAAGAGAGCATATTAGTGTGTATTAGTCTTCTCTCCATATCAGGAATGTATATATGCACAGAAGAAATAGAACCCAAAGAAAAATGTGTCCTGATAGGTTTCAGAGGTTAAAATGTGTCAAGAGAATTTAAAAAAAACCAATGGGACATTCATGGACACCACTGATGTAGGCCTCCTTCTCTGGAGAAAATTGGGGTCCGTGGACTGGGTGTGTGTAAATGCCTCTTGTCTCAATGCTGAGTCTAAAAGTGAGTTTGTTTAATGAGGGGCTTGCAGCAAGGGGGCGGTAAGAATGGCCAGGAAGAGCACAATGCCCCATAGTTCCTAGGAACTGGTTTTTAAGAAATGCCGTAGAAAGATAGAAGAACTTTCTGTTGTGTTCCTTGGAAGACAACTTGGAGCATTTGTATTATAGATTATTTCACTGTTCACAGTATTAGGAGCTGATGAATCCCAATACTTGTCCTTGACCTTTGGCTCAAATGTTCATTTTGTTCTATTTCTGAGAACTGAGACACAGATCTGAGGGCCAAGTTAAGTCAGGCTTTCAGAGAAGTTTATTTATTAGGAAGAGAAGAGATCTAAGGAGCCCTCAGTTATCGGATATAAGCTCAGCAGGGGCAGGCCTCTGGCACCATCACACGGAAGGAGGGAGGAAGGGCGAGAGAAGGATTGTCATGATGGGGAGAAGAAAGATATCCTCTTGGGCATCCAAATCCACTCAGCTAGCATTTTCCATCATTTTGAAACCTAATTTCCCCCCGAGATTTCCTAAAGGAAAAAAGCAGAATCAACATTTCATGAATAGAATGTCAGAACTACAAAACCCCTCAAATTATTTTATCTAGCATCCTTATTTTATATTTAAGGAAACTAAGAGCCAGAGCACAAAGGGAAATGGCTACATACAAGAGTCAGGTTACTGGACCTCCTACCTAGTTACCCTTCCATGGTTCTAAGATGCCGAGGACAATATTGCGACCGATGCTACAGTCTCTTTGAAAGTGAGTTATTCAGCCAGGCCTGAGCTTGTGCTAAGGCGTATCAATCCATCTTACTCTCCTAATGCTCTCATGCTTTGGCCCAATTCTTCATGAGTTGGCCTGAAGTGGGGTTTATGCATTCCTGTCATTGCTCCTTGTACAAAACTACAAAATGATTGTTGGGTTGAGGGCTGCAGTCTGATGTCACGAGGAGAATTTTACTCCCTGTGAACTGCGCTGGCTTACACAGAGCTCAAGCTGAAGCCATGGTTTTGGGAAACCTCAGCGTCTAACCACTAATAATCGTGTCCCATAAACCCAAAAACCTAAAAACGGGCTCTGAGCAAAAGGACCCAAACTTTGCAGGCACCTCATCCTAGCTCAGAGTTTCAGACACATAAGAGATTGAAGGTATCTGAGAGAAGGCAAAACCGCAGTTCATCTTCCAGTCAAAGAATGTTGGGGCTGAATGGAATCACTGAAGCTTTACTCGGCCTATGGGAACGGACATCACCTGTCATATGGCAGTGTGAGGGCTCAGCCAGAAGGGCCCAAAACACCACAGAGTACGCTGAGTCTGCTTTCCACCCCGGTGGGCTTTCTATTGCCACATGCTCTTCTGATTGGGGACTGATTAGTATCTGTGCAAACTGGAGCAAATTCCTGGCTTCAAGGCTGACGTACTTGGTAGAAGAGGTACATGGTCATTGCTGTGGGCTAAACTCATCTTTGTTCTCTTCTTCCCACCCCCCCCCAAAGAGTACTCACAGGCTCTCAATACACAAGATGCAGGGGTTTTCATAGGTTACAAAATTAGTGCCACAGATGGGTTGATATAAACCGGGGCAGGGGTTCACAGTTCCAATGAACCAACTCAAGTCTACTTTCTTATATGGACATTTCACCTGAAATTTCAGTCAAAAAGAATGATACGATTACAATCACTCTCATAGACAGGTAGGTCACATCTGGACCTGATTAGGAAAATCTAAACACAGTCAGGATCCCATTACAGTCACACAAAGCGCTTACAGCTGCCCCTCCACAAAGCAGTGGAGGCCGAACTTCTGTTTACGCCATCTGTCAACCACGACGCCTCCTCGTGGGGAGCTCCTGACAGTCACAGGGCACAGAGGCCTGCTACCCTCTGGTGGGAAAGGGAGGAGTGGACAAACAGGATGTATTTGGGAAATTTAGCTTCTTTCTCAATCTCCTTTATTCCCAGAGTATCAGACATGGGAATATTCTTAGAGATGTTCTGTGCCAACCGGGCAAAAAAACCCTGAAAGCCCATAACTGGAGAAGCTGTTTCACTGAAACCCATATGCTTTGATTTAAAATATGTACCATAGTTTATCCGTTCTCAAAATCCCCAAGACAACTCTTTTCTTGAAGTTGTGAAATGTGAAAGCATTTAGCACAATGCCCTGACTTTGTGGGGAACATGAAAAACAAAAGAAGGGACGCGTCTCATCAGGGCGGAGAAGCCATGTGCACTCACAGTGCTGGTGTCAGTGGCAGCGGCAGCTTGAAGCAGGGACACGGGGTTGCTGGAACTTGAGGAGGTGGCCTCAGGGGCTCTAGGAGAGCCATAGAGAGATTGGTAACATGCCTCTGATACAAGGGGGTAGAGAGTTTTGGCTGAGTATTTAGAGAAAGAGGGATCATATCTGAGCTTAGAAACTCTTCTCCTTCTTTCCTTAGCCAACACTACCACAGTGGCCAGGCCCTATCATCCTGTACGTCTGTCCCCCAGTGAATCCCTCCACTTTCTCAATTCCCCAGGCAATGGTCAGGGTTCGTAAACATTTCCTAGGCACCAGGGAAGGAGCATTCTCCAGTTGTCAGATGACCAAGTCTTGGCCTGGTTCCCCGTTTGGATCACTCTACTCAGGGCTCTTGTACCAGGAGTGTACCTGCCACGTTCCTGTGAGTGGACTCTGGAGAATGCCACACAGATGGCATTGCCGAAGTAAGGTTCTAACACAGCGATCCCAGAGAAAACTCAGAATGTCTGTCCTGAGAAATAGAGTGGAAGATTACCTTAACAGTTCCATGTGGTGGCCACCACTGTCGACGGCCTGAAACTAAGACATACATGAGAATAGTTGCAGGGTACAATATGCGGTGAATCCTAGCTTAACCTGTTGGCAGAATTAAGGAATTCCAATTTATTACCGAGGAAGCTTGCAATATGAGCACATTCTTTTATTTATACATGCATTCATTTTTTCCCTTCAAAAAGGTCTTCTACTCCTGAGAGATAATGAGCAAGCGATCACTGCTCTCATAAATGGTGCCAGTCCAGTGTACCAAACAAGTTTTTGATTAATAGGAGTTAGCCTGGGGTTGAGATGATTCAGAACTGGCAACCAATACATAAAAGACATGAAGTGATGCTAGAACTTTAAAGAGACCATTGGCCCGATCCCCATATTTTACAGAGAGGGGAAGGACACTTATTAATGCCCAGGAATTCATGGTAGATAGGTGAAAATGCAAGCCCTTCAGTCCTTGAGCCTAGGTCTTTTTAAAACTCCCTACAGGGCTCTTCTCTAAAAGAGGGCAAAAAAGGTAACACCCACTTAAATTCATGGCAAAGCATTTTCAAAAGCTTTGAGTCTTTGAGATGTGCTGTGCTGTGGGCATGTTGCCCACCACTGTAACATCATACCTCACTGAGTCCCCATGAGTTAAGTTTCACAATCTGCATTAGTAGATGGGAAAGCCCTTGCACATTGGCTGGGAGCCTTTTCTTGGGACCACACTACTTGCCTTTCTCTCTATAGATACAGATACATATATAGTGAAGTGACAGACTTACATAAATAAAATGAAAATAATTCCAAAGCATTCTTTCAGATTACAATGTCAGAACTCACAACCCTACATAACTGCCAGAACCAGTCAAATCACTCACCAGAGGGGCACCTGGGTGGCTCAGTTGGTTAAGTGTCTGCCTTCAGGCTCAGGTCATGATCCTGGGGTCCTGGGATCGATCCCCACTTCTGGCTCTCTGTTCATTGGAGAGTCTGCTTCTCCCTCTGCCCCTCCCCCTGGCTGTGCTCTCTCTCTCTCTCAAATAAATAATATCTTAAAAAAAATTACTCACCAGCAGGTAACGCCCAACGTATCAAGATGAAGAACAACAGTGAGCAGAATACCAGAAGATATTTGACCATTTTCCCTCTTGGTGTGTGTGTCCTTAGAATGATGCTCTGAGATATTGCCTCGGGATGTTCTCCTCTAGTACAATCACTAGAGCAAGGTAATTAAGATATTAAGACCACCTTTGGAGTGAATATCCATCTCCAGCCTTCCCACTGTAACCACTGTACGCCATATCTGGAAAGCCTATTATTTCACCCTTCCCCAAGAACAGATGTTCAGAAAAACCTAAACTTCGTTAGTCATAAAGTATAGAACTCAGTGACAGATCTGTGACTACTTAGAAGACAGAAGTAAATCAGAAGTTACTCTTTGGACAGAATTATATTATTTTAGTGTGGAGGTATTTTAGATGTCTTGAAAAGGCAATTCCTTACCTAAAGATTCACCCAGATTTTTTTCTTTGAGGGGATACAAAGAAAATGATGAGGCCACTAGAGGCTTCTGGGCAACAAGACCTTCTCCACAGAGGAAGCAGGTCTGTACTTGCTCACGAAGCAGAGACTGCCTCTTTGTAGTAAGACAAAGACTGTAATATTTTAGGCATACTTGGCTGTGCTGAGAATCTTCTGACATGGACCACTCAGCTTTTTTGGAGCATTCTGAGAGAGTACATAGGGAGAAATACCATTCCATGCTATCTTATGGGGGCCCCAAAGTTATCTTCATCTAGACATCTGGAAAGGGAGAAGTCAGTGAGCAAATCCTCCCGTGGGATTGCCTTCCCCTTGTAGCAGCCTTTCTGACCCTAGAGAATGGTAGACGTAGGTTCTAGGCCTGACCAAGGGACCACATTGAACTCCCCTATCTTCCTAACCCTATAAAAGTGACCAGGTCCTCCCTACATGCTCTGGCCTTCATCTCTACTCAGTAGCATATGGGACTAGGCAACTGACACAAACTCTTTCCCAGATGCTACGGTGTGACATGTGATATCTGAGACACGGTAAACTCCCTAGGGGACTCCACTCCCCAAGATGGTTGGAGGTTCTTGGCACAGTGTCCAGAGCTGCCTAGCTGCCTACCCTGCCTGCTCCGGGGACAATCTAGGACATGTTTTTGCTCAGCACACCCCATCTCTTCCTGACATTGTCCCTGGCCTCCTTCGGGAATGGAGCAGCAACAGTGGAAGATGCAGCTGCATGAACGCAGGACGCCAGATGCCCACACCCCTGCCACATATGTCCCCTTCGACCCACCTCAGAAAGAAGAGAAAAGGAAGAGAGATGTAACATGCTCCTTCGTGGCTCATGCCTCTTTTAAGGAGCAGGTACTAGGGCTGCAGGAGGGGGTAGAACAGCTATGTAGGAGAGATAAGGCACTGAGGCATTGTGTGCTAGGAGAAGCAGGCCCTGGAGGCCCCACATTCAGGGTAAATCAAAGTCAAACCTCAGCAGGAGGCATTGGGGAAGGAAGCATAGAGCGGCCTAGGAGACTTGGGCGTGGGAATGGGTCACCGGACACTGAACGGTGCAGCCCTTGGCAGGCAATCCAAAGAGGCAATGGCATGAGGAAACGTACCACAGTCGGAAAGGGCACAGCAGAAAAAGCAGAGGATGTTCCACAACAAGAGTCAGTACCTGGGGCCAACGTGCAAGGGAAGGAGGTGGGTGCTGAACGAGGTCTCCGAATACCATTTGCAGTGGGTCCAGTCTTGTTCTTGAGCTGAACCAGAGCCTTCGCTGCATTGTGACCTGGAAGATTTGTGCTCATGGCTGAGTTTCCTCCTGTTATCTAAACTTCTTGTCTCCATCTGCCTTCCTGTAAAGAACAGTTGTTCTTACACCAAGGAAATAGGTGAACTTGAGAAAATAGGTAAGATAGAAATTTAAAATAGAAACAAAAAGACACGAAATCTCAAAACCCAGAGATAACCATTAAACATGTATTGAGTTACATTGTTCCAGTTTTTAAAAAATCAAATTTTTGTAGTACTATATATTGTTCTCTGCCTTTTTCACTTAGCAATGTACTGTGACATTTTCTTGATTTTTGAATGTAGTCATACAGTACTTGAATTTAGATGCCTGGTGCCATATTCTGTCACTTATATGGGTTTTTATTGTATTAATATTCTTCCACTATTGCTCAATTAGGTTGATTCCAATTTTCATTATTATTAACAATGCTAGAATGAACAAATTTTTATTTACCTCAGTTAATTTATTTCTTATTAACTTTAATAAGTGCCTAAAAACAAACCTACTGTACACTTCCAGAAAGGATCTGAGCCATGTAGAATATCAAATAGGAGGTTTTCACCTAATTTGTGGGCTCTGTGCTTATAATCTAATGTGGAACATTTTGAAAATACAATGCTACCTTACTAAGTGAATGAATCATTTGTCCCCCAACTCAGAGAGATAGAGGGACTCCATTGCATAGAAAGCATTACAGAAGAAAAAGTAAAACATCATAGGAAAGAAATAAGGCTAAAATATCTATAGCTTTTCCAAACTCCCCCAAATTCCAGTTGAATTAATAATATTGGGTGAGAAGAATAAATGAGATTAAGGAATCACATCTTCCTCAGAGAATCCTTAGTCTATGACTTTCTCATCATGGATCATACCCGTGGTTTAAAGCTAAAAGCTATAACTTGGGGCTTTTTCCCTGGATGGCAGGCTCCTCTTCCTAGCTATGAAATGATTTGATTTGTATGTTTCATGTCACTTCAAACCAACATTTTCACCCCAAAACCAACTCCTTACTCTATAGTCCAAAGCCGGTGCTTATCACCTTTTAGGGATACCACTGCAAGATTTAACCTACAGCTCCGCTGTTTTCCTGCAGAAAGGAAAGTTTCAGCTCCACTGCCCAAATTACAGAGCTTTCCTGTCTAGCCCATTTTGTTAACCAGTTATATTCACAGCAGAGCACTGAGCTGCCTTCCTTTACGCCCCAACAGCTGTCCTTCCCTCACAGAAGAGCCACCACACAGATGTCAGTCCAACCCCAGGCTATAGGATAAAGTCTTTTTCTTCTCAAGGATTTTATAGACGCCATAGAGGCACTAGCCACACTAGCATAATCTCCCGCTCTGGTCTTGAACACTGATTTGAGTAACAGAATTCCTGACCTGTTCTCCAGACTGACCAAGATGGTCTTAATGGCCTTCAAGTTCCCCTCAGCTTGACAAAAATATAGACAGGCTTCTACCTGACTCCGGGCCCCTGACCTCCCTTATCTTAGAACATTTACTTCAGAAATATTATAAGTGTAAATTCCTTCTCTGTTGCCTTGAGACGTAATTGTCTTTGGAAATCCCTCACCAGTTTTACAACACGGAAAAGTCTTTCTCAAGGACCCGGGAGGTATCCCTTTGAAATGTAGCCATCAGGAAAGACCGTGCAGGTTATCTCCTAGTCTCTGTGGGAGGGCAGGAGTCTAACTTTTCATGGACATCTTGCCCTAAGTTGCAAAACTACCTCCTGTCATAAAGATACGAGAAATTTATATTCCCTTAGATAAAGCCAAGTTTATATTCCCTTAGATAAAGCCAAGTTTATATTCCCTTAGATAAAGCCAAGTTTATATTCCCTTCGATAAAGCCATAGGCCAAATGGTCTATGATTTTCCTTTCACCTCCTCCACTACTTTCTCACTAGCTCACCCAGACCTTACAGATCTTCCTCCTTTTTTTCCAGCAGCATTAAGTTCATTCTGAGCTCTGGCTTCTCTTACCCAATAGCACTGGGTAAGTCTTCTTTGCCTATTTAATCTTACCTGATGTAATTTTCATTTTGACAGGAGCATCCCACATACCCAATAAGACAAGTTTTCTTGTCTCTTTTCTTTGGACAGAATCACTGTTTTGTTGCTATTTCCTTTACTTCTTTTTAACACCAACACTCAACCTTGTATAATTCAAGTGTCGGCCTTCCTCCCTTGCGGACATGCAATTCTAGCATAAAATGGAAGCTCTTACTTCTTGCTAACCCTACTTCTTTCCTTAATTGCCCATCTGTTTACTCCTCTCTAGCTTTCAGAGGTCCTCCCTGCACTAGGCCCTCACTGGTCTGCTGGTCCCTGTTGGTAACTTCTGGCTGCTACTCGCAGTCCCCTAGGATTCACCATGAGGTAGAATTGAGACCAGTCACACTTCCCTTTTAAATGTCTTCATCCTTCGTTCTCCCTAAAACTCCCACCCCTGGCTGTACAGATGTACATGAATTTGTTCACTAAAAGGGTGGAGAAAGGGAAATCTTTAAAGGGAATCACCGAGAAGGGGGAGAAGGTAAAAAGCTGGTAAGATAAAGACGAGTTTCTTCAAAGAGGAGAAGGAAAATAAATCCTTAAGGTGAGGCCCTGACGGTGAGCTCACCCAGTGTCTGACCTGATTCCTCTTCCCTCAGGCTTCTGTCTCTTTTCAAAGACTGATTTGCTTTTCTCCGTTTCACTTCGGGGCAGCAAATCCTGCCCACAATCTCTTATGGGACGTGTGGAGGAGAAGCTCTGACCATCTAAATCGTGAGGACCCAGGTTAAGTGTGGGTGCCTTGAGTCAACTCTCCTTTGCAATGTTCTCTGATCAGTGTGAGTTGAAGACATCCCACTTTCTTTTCAGGGTGGCACCTGACACACAGCTATGAGCACACATACACAGACAGACACTTCTGCTCGCCAAAATTAAGCATTAAGTCTCAGACGGTACAGTACAAGTTTTCAAATTCTATATTGTAACCCTTTAGTAGGTTGTGAAATTTATTTTGTTACCACCATTATTTTAAAATTACATTATTTTAAAATATAGTAAAATGGAGTGAATAGAGTAGAATGACATAAAAATTACAGCGTAACTTCAATAGCGTGTGTATTTCTAGGTGGTGAGGTAGAATACAATTTTTTTTTTCACTGTGAGTCACAGTCAATGAAGTTTCAAAACCCCTAGAATAAACCTACAGGTAAGGAAACAAATATTTGCTATCTGTAATCTGTGTACCTCTTGCAAGGAGAAAATAAGTTTTTATGCATGTTTTTAGCCAAAAGCCTGATACAGTGCTTTGATCTTAGCAATTCAATAAGCATTTCTTATGTCCCAACTTGGAACCCTTCTGTCCTCACTTTCATAGTTACTGGAACATCAGAGGCACGTTATAAGCTTATGTTTCTTGAAGGACTGAATGAAAACTTCCTCTAGTTGCAACATACCATACTATTTCCCAGAATCAATCTAACCTGTACCAACATTTGAAAAAAGTAAAGTGTTGTGGTAAGTGTTTCAAGTGACACATTGATGTTATGAATAGCCCAAGCCCTCAGTTGTATAATCTAGTGGGGTGGGCACAGAGGAAAAAAGCAGATGAGAAATTGTATTTCAAAATGTGCCAGGAAAATGGGTTTTCAAATCAAGTACTAGCATTATTAATGCTGGATAAATGTATTTATACTTGTTTTAAGGCATAAGATATGCTCCATCTTGATAATTTCTTCCCCTAATATTGATATATAGCAATACAAATTTTACCCTAAGCACTGCGCTAGGAGGATTCTACAAATTATATTACTCTCTTCTTCTCATTCGACTCAAAATACTTTTAGTTTCTCATTTGATTTCTTCTTTGACTCAGGGTTTATTTATTGCTGTGATATACGCTTTCCAAATACTGGAGATTTTCCAGAGATTTTTTTTGTTTTGCTTTGTTTTCTTATTCAATTCAGTTATGGTCAGAGGACATATGCCAGGTGACTTGAATTCTTTTAAATTTATTGATACTTGTTTTATGGCCAAGAAATTGGTCTATCTTGGTAAATATTTCATGTGTACTTGAGAAGAATGTTTACGCTGCTGTTGTGTGTCGGGGGTATGTTCTCAGGTCACGTGGTTGATAGTATCGCTCAACTCTGCTACACAATTGCTAATATTCTTGTTATATTAATTTTTGAGAGATGGATATTGAAATCTCTGATTATGATCATGGATTTGTTTATTTTTCCTCACACTTGGATTAATTTTTGATTTGTGAATCTTGAAGTTCTGTTATGAGGTTCATAAACATTTAAGACTTTTATATCTCCTTAATTAATTGACATTATAAAATGAATTCTCACCCTTTCAATTAGTCTTTGCTCTAAAATCTATTTTGCTCATATTAACATTGCTACTCCAGCTTTCTTTTGACTAATGTTAACATGGTAAATCTTACTTTATCCTTTTATTTTTATTCTATTTGTGCTTTTACTTATTTACTTACTTGATATTTTATTTTATTATTTTTATTATTATTATTATTTTATTTTATTTTATTATGTTATGTTAGTCACCATAGAATACATCATTAGTTTTTGATGTAGTGATCCATGATTTATTGTTAATATTTTATTTTTAACTAATCTCTACACCCAACATGGGGTTTGAACTCACAACCCTGAGATGAACAGTTGTATGCTCTACCAACTGAGCCAGTTGGGTGCCCCTGTGCTTTTATTTTTTAAGTGTTTTTCTTGTAAACACACTTGTTTGTTTGCTTTTTTTAAATCTAGTCTTTTAAAAAAAATCCAGTCTGTCAATCGCTTCCTTTAATTGGCGTGTTTAGACCATTCATATTTAATATGATAACTGATATACTTACCGTAATGGTTAATTTTATATGTCAACTTGGCTGGGCCACAGTGCCCAGATATTTGATCAACACCATTGTGAAGATATTTTTCAGATACAATCAACATTTAGGTTAGTATATCTTGTTGTTATTATTGTTGTTAATTATTTTGTAAAATAATTGTAGTTAAATTATTTATTATTATAAGGTCAACACCCATGTACCCAGCACTCTAGTGATGAGCTAGAATGGCTTTTATCCTAAAAACCTTCCCCACGTTATTGCCTGCACTGAATATTTGTGTCCCCATCAAATTCATATGTTGAAGCTTAATTCTCAATGTGTTGGTATTAGGAGGTAGAACTTGTGGGTGGTGATTAGGTCATGAAGGCAGAGAGCCCCTTCTGCCATGTGGGGACATAGCAAGAAGACAGTCCTCACCAGGTACTGAATTTTCTGGCACCTTGATCTTGGACTTGCCAGACTCCAGAACTGTAAGAAATAAACATTTTCTGTTTAAGCCTCCCAGTTTATGTTTGTTTTTTGGGGGGTTTTGGGTTTTTTTTTTTGTTATAGCAGCCCAAACAGACTAAGGCACTACCTAACCACAGCCCCCTGTCACAGACTCTATTCTGACTTCTATGTTAATCACTCACAGGCATTTTTAATAGTTTTACTACCTATATGTGCCTTTGGGATTTCCTCTTTGGTGAAGTGTCTAAATCAGTAGACGCTGAGTAGAGCATACTATTTTCTGTAATGTGGGTGGGATTCCCGCAAACAGTTGAAGACCCTAAGAGAAGAAGCCTAAGATCTCTTGGGGAAGGAGAATTCTGCCTCTCAACTGCCTTGAGACTTGAGCTGCAACATCAACACTTCCCTGGGTCTCCAGCCTGCTGACCCACTTCCCAGTCCCCATGATCACATGAGCCAATTACTTAAAATAAGTCTTTTTCTTTCTCTCTTGTCTCTCTGTCTCTTTCTGTCTCTCTTTTTCTCTCTCTCTCTACACACACACACATACACACACACACAATTGGTTTTGTTTTTCTGAAAAACCCTAATTAACACAATTACATCGAATGTACCATATTGCTACTTCCTTTCTATTAGGTCAATCTGTTTTTCCCCTTTACTTCCTTTGTCTTCTTTTGTACACACAAATATAGTATTTTTTTCATCATTCCATTTTATCTCCTTTGTGGCATATTTAGTGTTGCTTTAGGACTTACAGTATACATTCTAACTTCTCACAGTGCACCTTGAAGTGGTATTATACCATTTAACTTAGCACAGAATCTTAGAATAGTTTCATTTCTTTCTTCTATTGTTATGTTGTCATGCATTTTATTCTCACATATGAAAAATAAAAACAAAGTTCTGGCAACCTAGCTGCTTTGGACAAAATTGTGTCCCCTACAAATACAAATGTGAAAACACTAATTCCCATTGTGACTGTATTTGGAGATAGGGCTTTAGGAGGTAATTAAGGTTAAATGAGGTCATAAGGGTCAGGTCTTTCACTTCTTACTGAACCTTTAATAATTCTTGATTATAGTCTTTTTTACATTGTATAGTAATCAGCTCTTCAAAAGTATGTCTCTGACTAATGTACAAACTCCTTAATGGCATGGATTCTTTGCCCATTTGTATTGCCTTTCCTTACACAACAGATTGCTTGACCTATAGTGATCTTTCTATGTGTGTTGTTAGAAAAAACACACAAATCTCTACAAAATAGCTGGCAAGCATTTGCCCAGTCTTCACTAAAAGAGCATTGTGCTGGGGCGCCTGGGTGGCTCAGTTGGTTAAGCATCCAATTCTTGATTTCAGCTCAGGTCATGATCTCAAGGTCGTGAGATGGAGCCCTGCGGTGGGCTCCATGCTCAGCAGGGAGTCTGCTTGAGGTTCACTCCCTTCTTCTCCCTCTGCCCTCCCCTCCCGCATGTGCATGCTCTCTCTCTTTTTCTCAAATGAATAAATAAATCTTAAAAAAAAAAAGCATTGTTCTTTGGACAGATGAACTTATAGGGCATAACTTTGTTCCTATTTAAAAACTTACTGTTAGGAAATTCTTCTCTTTACCAATGCAAAATATCTATCTTTGCATGTTACATTAATGACATGACTCCTCTCTGTGGAGCCCCAGAAATGAGAAAGTTCTGATCTCTCTATCTTATAATACTTCTGCATATGCCCTCATCTTTCCCAGTTACCTTGAACTTTCCTTGGGCCTTTTAGTGACTTCAACAATTTAATCAGATTATATTGTTTTTATTCTCTTCCCAACATGATCAACAAAATGTCTTCCTTTGTGGATGCCACTTGTGACTGAGTCCTCTTTGAATGGATATCTAATGTCTAATATTATTCCTGGTCTGATTAGTTGACAGTATTATGGATGCTTACTTTATTTTTCTCCAAAGCTGAATTTCCCACTTTTCATTATTGTGGCTAAAGGTACTAGTATTAGACTTGTGGTCAGATCTGCCACATGATGCATGTTTACTTAAAAATTGTGAGGTTTTTTCTTTTTAATGGGATGCTAAGAGCAGATTCTTCTCTCACCAGTGTGTATACAATCTCTCCTACTCAACTTGAGTAGAAATAGAGGAAATCTTCCTGTGTGACCTATTGAGGGAAATGGCCATAGACATTCTCCTTAAGAAACAGTCACATCCAAAGACAAACCTGAAAGCTTTCTGCTGAGAATTTTTTATTGAAGAATGAAATCCATATATTTGCTCCCATAGCCATCCAAGAGGGATTGGTTCTCTACGTGGAATCTGCCAAAGGGAACTCGGTGCCCTTGAGCATCAGGGAGACTCAGCACTGTCCGCGCTTTGCCAAAAAAAGTTCACCACGACTATTCCTACAAAAGAAATAATTTTTTTTTAAGGGAATGCTTTGGAGATCTTAAATTGAAACTTTAATATTCTTAGATCATGTCAGCCAAATGAGCACAGAGTGTGAAAGGTAAGTAATTAGTAACTGAGCTCCAGCATGGTAGAAAAAGTAATTCAAAACCAGTGTTAGGAGCCAAAAATCTATAAATATCTCTGTTATCTGCCACTTAGCAATATTATGATGTTGATCAAGTCTCCTTTTCCAGCTTCAGTTTCTTCCGACAATCCACTTTCTTTTTTCTCTTGCCCTCTCTCTCTTTCTCTCTTTTTACTTTTTTTGTAAAATATTATAATTATCACTGAACCATCTCACTTTTATGCTTCGTAGGAGCATCTTGCTTATTAGGTAGCTATGATGGTTTCTGGCTTGGCGGGAAAGGCTATTTCTGCAAATAGCACATTAAATTCAGCACTTACACAACAGCATTGCAAAATAAACATTTGTTTGCATAGTTCTGCCCATCAGATCCGCAGAGAGGTAAGTTTTCCATGGTACATATTTCAGAATATTGGGTACACTCAATATCCTGCAGTCCAAAAAAAGGAAACAAAGAAAGAACAACTTCAAATTGTTAAATTATAGAAAATGAGCTTTTTTTAAAGGCCTTGAGATGTCATTTAGCCCTCAATCCCACATGCAAAAAGACATATCCTCTTCAATTCACAAAATCTGACCCAACCATGGTGGCAATCTCGTCACAGTAGGAGATAGTTTAGCTTGAGGTTAGGGCTTCCCTCTCACTCATTCTCCACCGGGAACTGGTGAATAGAGTACATCCAGTGGGTCTATCTTTTTTTTTTTTTTTTAAGATTTTATTTCTTTATTTGACAGAGAAAGACACAGCGGGGGAGGGAACACAAGCAGGGGGAGTGGGAGAGGGAGAAGCAGGCTTCTGCTGAGCAGGGAGCCCGATGCGGGGCTTGATCCCAGGACCCTGGGATCATGACCTGAGCTGAAGGCAGACGCTTAACGACTGAGCCCCCCAGGCGCCCCCCAGGGGGTCTATCTTGTGCTTAATGTCCGAACCAGTCCTCTCCTCGCCACACAGTTCTCCACTTTATTCAGGCCCTCCAGATGTTTTGCCTGCATAGTTGCAGGTGTCTGCCAGTTTGCTGCCCGGTGTCCACGCTTAGCTAAGATTTCAGTCACCCTTCACATTCATGTCAGAGTGATCTTTTAAAAAACAAATCAGATCTTTTTTTTTTTTTTATTAGTTAACTGATTCCCCATCTACAGAAAGTCCCCTCACGAGCCATGCTTACTTCTCTCATCTGCTCTGCCTCTAACTCCCGGTAAACTTGACTGAATTCCCAGAGTGTTTCCTGCTCCTATACATCCCTGTGCCTTAGCTTAGGCTGTTTTCCTATCTTCCCTGACCTTACCCACTGGAGTCACCAAAACAACTCCTAAGACTCCTAGTCCTCCTTAGAAATCAGTTTAACTCTTTTTATAACAGTTTCATGACAACATTTCTCTCCCTCAAATTGGGTCAGCTCCACCCCTTAAAATGAACTGTCTTTACTACTACAACCCCATGTTTTTATTTCTCTTGTCACATTCCAACCTCTATTAAAATTATCTACATCCATTCACATAGCTCTTTACTCCAGAACTGTCTTTACATTTGTTCTCGAGTTTTTTTTTTAATAACTTCCTTTATTGTTATGAGAGTGTCTTTGAGTCCCTAATGTCCTCTTCTTAACCTGCTAATTAGTTGCAGTGTTAGAAAACAACCACATGTATACCATTCTGCCCCAGTTAAGGGCTATGAGTAAAATTTGTGGAGTTTTCCTCTGGAGAAGTAAATTAACTGTGTTCAGGTCTTTTGTTTAGGCTGGCCACATGACTTACCTATGACTATACATACTCACAGACAATTTCTAAAATGTCTATTTTAAAACTTTCATAAAGTGAGGAATCATTGTAACATTTTATATTAAGAATAAATGAAATTTCTGTGTATACTTACACATTTATTATCATGAAGTTTTCTGACTTGAAATCCTTTGTTTCTGAAAGAGAAGATTTTTATTGAATGGGTAATGCATTACTTGGCATTTCACAATCCACAGAGTAAAATACTGTCATATGTCATTCTGTATTCTCTGTCCTGTACTGAGAATGAGGAGCTCTGGTTAATATTCTACCCAGGTTGGCTAATATTGACCATTAACACCTTTGATGGATGATCATTTTGTAAACAAATAAAAATATAAGAAAATAAGATCAGCACTAAGAGGAGATTGGGCATTTAAAAAAATTAGTCCATGAATATTCAGATGAAAATCAAAGGCATAATATAGTGTGAAAACATTTTTTGCAGTTAAGAAAAAGAAAATATGTTCAAATCCATCTCTGGCACTTGTAGTCTGTGTAATTTTGTAACAGTCACTTCTTTCTAGAAGATTTCTGTCTTCTAAAAGGAGGCTATGAAATGATAAAAATCAGTGAAATCTCGTGTTTAGTCTCTTGTGTTTTTATTAGTACACGAGTTTGTGTATCCTGAGAGACTTTATTCTGAATAAATTGTTATTACACTTGACTATAAATTTTCAGAAGGGTTAGAAAAGAAGGAGAAAATGAGAAGGAAGAAGAGCTCATTTCTGTAAGTATGCAGTCCGTATTAGCTGCCTAGCTAAGATTTGACGTGTTTTATCGCCGTGGATCCTAAACACTATTATAATTTCTATCTTACAGATGAGACTACTGAAGCATGAGGTGGATTGGGTATTTGCCTAATGTCACACGTCTCCTAAGTGCAGTCTGGATTCTAATGCAGATGTGTGACACCAAAGCCTGTGATTTTAGTCACTAATCATAAAGCAGTGAATTCCAATTCCTGGAATGGCTGGTAATAACCATTCTTTCATTCTCCTAGAAGCTGAGATGTTTACAGTGAGGAACTCATATGTAATTTGCGGGCTACTGGTGGTGGGGGTCCCAACTATCCATTTGTACTTTCAATCTCCTCCCTAGACTTTTCCAGATAATCATAAGAAGCAACATGGATTTTCTCTGGGGTAGGAAGGATAGATCAAAGTTTTGTAAATAGCACCCATGGCAAAGAGCCTACATAGAGAGAGCTGTCTTCTGAGTTCTCATTATGCAATAAGAAAGACACAACAGAAGATTATGGAACTTTGACCAAGACACATTTTCTGCCTGAGACTCAGCTTCCTCAAATGTAATGTGGGAATAAAAATGTCTATAGGTAACAGCTAATGCCTGAGGAATAGTGTATAATGTGAATGAGAATTTGGCTGGATAGCAAAGAAATACATATCTCCTTTGAGATACAGCTAAATTTATTTGTTTATTTTTTATTTGAACAAATTAATGTCCAAAGGGTATTGGAGGAGCACGACCAAAGGTAGGATTTATCAAACCACGTTGTTATAAACCAAGCAGATTTTGGCCAATGTGGACTTCATGATCTTTAAAAAAAAAGAGGAGATCCAAACTGAGTATGATACTTACTGAGTTAGCATGCAAAACATGCATTCATTACTGTAAGTTTTATGATCTGTGCCACATATTGGATCCAGGTGCCTTGGGCATGCAATCTCAGAGTCTTTTGTGTTGTATTTGGAGCAGTCCACCTATAATTGGAACAAAAAATAATGGCTTACATCGTCTTCCTTCAATTCTGTCGTCTTTCTCATATCAAGTTGGTAAGACAAAGAAGAGAGTGGAAGGAATACTAGCCTCTTCAACTTGTCAGCAAACATGTCTAGAAGACCTTCTGTGGATCAAATGCTGCACTAGGGGCAGCTAGGTCAGACAGGTCAGACATGAAACATTCTGTAGATAAAATTAGAGTTAGCTGTTTAAGAAGGAGATGTTAGTCTCTCCTTTTCACGTTACAGTGAGAGTACAATGGAATAATGAAAGTAAAAAATACTCAGAAAAGTTTGAAATGACGCCTAATGGTAACAGTTTACTTTATCTGTTGTTCTCCTTTTGCAACCTTTAAAGAAAGAACCACCACAAGGAGAAGCAGAGTAGGAACGGTTTTAACTCCCTAGGAATTATTTCCATCCACAGTGAGCCAACTTCATTACTTTCACAGCTCCATTTACACATCAGCTCCGATTTCATTTTTACCAAGACCCCACAGAGAAGGTTACACTCACCTTTCTTCCCACTACTTGATCACCGGAAGAGAGTGGCATGAGATGCATTTGAAGAGAAGGAATCCGAGAAAGAGCAAATTCCATAGTTAGAGATGCAAGGTTGAATTCATTGTTCACAGTAACTAAAACCGCTATCTGCCATCCCTGGCCCAGGCCAGACCTAAGAGAGGTCTCTTCTTTACTCAGGGCCAATTCAGGATGAAGCCAGAAATGTGTGTGATTCTGACTTAAAAGAAACAAAAACAAAAACAACATGGGGGGGAAATCCCTGGTCATTGGAGAAAGGGCTGTCACAGGAATTCCTGTGAGCAAGCCCAGGGTAGGGTTGGGTGAAGGTCTCAAAGCTGCATAAGTTGTTTCTGAAAGGCAAGTCAGAAGCCTGGCGTCTGGATCAGGAACTAAGCAGGTTGCCCACAGTCCTTTTCTTCTTCTTCTTTTTTTTTAATTGAAGTATAGCTGAGGCAGTATGTTTCATTAGTCTCAGGTGTACAACATAGTGATTCACTAAGTCTATATACATTATGTTGTGCTCACCACATTATGTTGTAGCTCCCATCTGTCACCGAACAGTATTACAGTACTACTGACTATATTCCTTATGCTCTACCTTTTATTCCCATGACAATCTTTTTATTCTTCTTCTCAGTCTCTCTTCCTCTTCTAGAAGTTCTGACCCCCCACCCCCTCTTTGCTAATCAGTCCAATCCAAATAGTTAAGGTCTCAAGTTTTCTTCTGACTTTAACATTCTATCGTTACTGAAGGTTGAACAAACTGCAGTTAACATAAAGCCATGGCTATTCAAAGGAGTCTTAACTCACCAGGTGGAGGGGTAGCCCATGCGGTGGCTACAAGAGCAAAGATGGCAAAAGCAGTGATACTCGCCATAGTGATGAGGAGTGAGGGTGACTTCTCTGAGGCACACATACACACATATATATACACACATGCATAAGGCAGGGTCCCACCCTCCTCAAGATTGATCTTTTCACTGATGATTGGTTGTTAAGCCAAGCTAGGATGTTAAGTTCATTTGTCAAGAAAAGCTTCCTTATTACCTTGATTTATAGGCAGCTGGAATAGTTATATCCCGAAACTCACCTACCAGAACTGTCTTGCATAATAATCCTCTGGTTTCTTAGCAAATACAACAGCATAGCTGTATTTGAGAACAAATAAAATCATAGGTGTAGTGAAGAGAAATAAACAATAAAATGACATGTATAAAGGGTTTCAAGATTATATGAAATGCGGGAAAGTTGAAATAGAAAACAGGAGCAATGAGAACATTTCTTGAAAATGTATAGTAGTACACAACATGGATACTTAGCACTATAATACATTTTCTAGAGTTCGAAGATAATTTACAATGTTCTATGAAGGCTTGTTAAGTGACTAAAAAAACTTGTGAAATATGCAGACCAGTATTACTGCTACTTAGCAGATGGGACTACAAACACAGAAATATTAAGTGCTTTCTCTTTAGTCACAGAGTGAACAGTTGGAAGAGCCAGTTCTCTAGGATTCTAGATCTATACTTCTCTCCTATATTTTTTTACTAAGATATGCTACTTCAGTAACAAAAACCAATATTTATATTGAAAATCCAGATTTTAGCATATAATCTGAAGATTATAATCATGATATTCTGTTTGACACATTCTTCCGCGTCCATATCTATATATATATATGTCCATCCACATAACCAACGTTCTTTCAATAATCCAGGTCTAATGATTTCCAATTACTTAGCACTTTCACCTCTGTTATATCATGTGGATGACACTATCTCATGTGATGACATCAGCTCTCTAGAAGATAGAGTTAATACGGAGTTAAGCTAGAATTAATTCCCAAAGGACAAACTCAAAGATTGGAGGAGTTAAGCAAATTGCCCAAAGCAGACAGCTAATGAGTGATAGAATCTTGACCAAAACCAGATCTTTCAATTTCAGAACTTACGGTCTCCCAGTAACTGGTTGCAATTATTTCTAATTTTTTAGGATGTTTCTCTCTCATTCATCCTTTCCATTCTCCAATACCACCTCTTTTTCTCAGAGATAATTCTATAATTTTGGTTTATGCTATTGTGAAATTTGCATACTTGCACCTCACCCATATTTCAGTGCTTGTTCAGCATTTGAAATATGTATACTATACTGAAATGTGCTCCAGAAACTTTTCTCAATGGGATAAATGATCTTCTTCCCAAGTCATAGTGGAGCATCTGATTAGAGTGACCAAGTTCTGAGTAGATGACAGAAATGAGAAAAATGGCTTAGTGTTGGTAGAGCTGGCCAGGTCAGGAGCAAGCACCTGGGTCTGTGGCTTTCAAACTTTTCATTATTGTTATTTAATTAAGAAATGGTATTTCCCCCTTCCCTGAATGTAATTCTATGAAGCAAGCAAGCAATGAAACAGATTTTTAAAAAAGCAATCACTTAAATAGAAGCAAGACAGGATTCAAGAGTGCCTGCATTTCCAGCACTTCCCATAAGTTTCCATGCAAATCCATTTGGAAACTGATCTAGAACACACACACAAAAGGAAGTGAGGCCCTGGAAGGGAGAGTATCTTGTCCAAGACCCCTCAGTGAGACAGATCCCCAGATTCTAGTACAAGATTTGTTCTGCTATGCCAAATCTTCTCACACCATTACACAGCCCTGTGTCAGCATGGGATTTCTGTCCCTACTTGCTTTCCCAGAGAACATGAGCAAGTACCTGCCACCCGGATCCTGGACTCAATTCTCTACTGCTTATTGGATCTCACCTTTCTGACATCCCAAAGGATCTTCCAGTTCAACATGTTCCTAGGAGACCTTGTTGCTAAATCTCATTTTTAATGGCTTCCCTCCAGTTTCACTTTGTTAATATCTGTCAGTGGCAACCCAATCCAGGAACATTGAAGGAATCTTCATTTCTTCTCTGATTTTCACACTCACACCCAAACTCTCACCAACTAGGTTTTGAGTGTGTGCCTTCCTTGCCAGGAAGAATATAAGTGTTGTTTGATTGTTTATCATTTTTTTAAAATTCAGAGTTCAAGAATAATAGCTTATAAATCTACCTCTAAAAAAAAATCTACCTCCCATGTTTCTTCCTTTTGGAAATTCCCACAGGGATGACAGAGAATTTAGCCCTGTCTACAAATTCTAGTAAGACTGCATTTTTCTTTCTTCCTTTTGCCACTACTCAGTAACTTTCTAAAGATTTAATGCTCAGCATCCCTCGGGCTCAGGGAAATACAAATCAAAACTATAATGAGATACTGCCTCACACCGATCAGAATAGCTAAATTTATAACAAGTCAGGAAACAACAGATGTTGACGAGGATGTGAAGAAAGGGGAACCCTCCTACACTGTTGGTGGGAATGCAAGCTGGTGAAGCCACTCTGGAAAACAGTATGGAGGTTCCTCAAAAAGTTAAAAATAGAACTACCCTATGACCCAGCCATTGCACTATTAGGTACTTATCCAAAGGACACAAACATAGTGATTTGAAGGGGCACCTGCACCCCAATGTTTATAGCAGCAATATCCACAATAACCAAAGTATGGAAAGACCCCAGATGCCCACCAACAGATGAATGGAGAAAGAAGAGTGGTATATATATGCAATGGAGTATTACTCAGCCATCAAAAAGAATGAGATCTTGCCATTTGCAACAACATGGCTAGAACTAGCAAAATAAGTCAGTCAGAGAAAGACAAATACCGTATGATTTCACTCATGTGTTGAATATAAGAAAGAAAACAGATGAACATAGGGGAAGGGAAGGAAAAATAAGACAAAAACAGAGAGGGAGATGAACCATAAGAGACTCTTAACTATAGGAAACAAACTGAGGGTTGCTGGAGGGGAGGTGGATGTGGGGGGATGGGGTAACTGGGTGACGGGTATTAAGAAATGATGAAATGAGCACTGGGTGTTATATACAACTGATGAATCACTAAATTCTACCTCTGAAACTAATAATACACTATATGTTAATTAAATTGAATTTAAATAAAAATAAAAAATAAACACACTATGTAGGATTATGTAAACTCAATACCATCACAACACATTGCCCAGATCAAAAGTTACTTCAGAGCGACTTCAAGTACATTCCCATTTCTATTACCAGTTCCTTAACAGGTTTAAGGTTTTATCTCAGAGAGAACTGAGATTGGCTGTGATTCTAGGGCAGCCAGGCCTGGAGGTGGATGTGCACTGCACATGAATTCTTAGCAACCCCCAGTATGATCCCCCACGTAGAAGGTGTGAGTTTTGATCAATAAATGTAGATGTACAAAATTATCTATTCCCTCTTTTTCTCTAAATAAAATCATGTTTGATTCCAAGTCTTCTGCCGGGCTTTGGGGACGTTTAGTCTCATTCATTATTGAGGTTGATGAGGATCTGAGATGGTTAAGAAGTGAGCAAGAACATGAGGCGAGGCCCTCTAATCCCTGGCTAGTCATGGCTGCTGCCTGCATCCTGATGGTCCAAGCCAGCTGTAAATGGTTCCCTTCCCTGAGGTAGTTCCTTGATTCTGTGCCACCCTTGGGACGTGGTGACTTTAGGTTGAGATCGAGAACTCTTGAATCCTGGGTTTGGCAGACACATTTCATGGTCGTACACTGAGCCGTCTTTTGTTTTTTGAGACTGCTGCCAAGCAGCAGCGGTAGTCAATATTAGAACTTGGTCCCTTTCATTTCTTTTGAAATTTTTATTGCTTCTCCTTTCATTGCTTTCCAAAGCACACAAGCCATTAAGAATAATTTCTTGCCCATTATGTTTTTGTCCAGTTTAACTCAAATATCCTCTAAGGCAAATGTACACGCTGTTTTCTTATAGCTCTGTGATTGAGGGGAAGGAAAGATACAGGGAAGAGTAGTTAATAGCTTTTAACTATTGCTTTTATTGTTGGTGTTGTGTTATTATTTCGTGTTTGACATATTGACATTAAAATGATGATCAATATTCCATTCTTCTTTAGAATATTATCTTGTGCTTCTAGGTAAGTGCTAATCGGGGCTTATGCAGCCCCACCAGCAATCCTTCAGTGGGCACCTAAAACTGGAACCCATTCAACTGCCTACTCCTCTTTTGAGCGCATAGGAACAGCCTCTGGGTGGGGAAGGATGTGGCATTTCCTGCTAGATGTAGCCATACTGTCCTGTGACCAAAGGCTGGGACTTAAGCAAATATCCCCTGTGAACACAACTTGTCCATAACTTATTTTTAGAGACCTTGGCAACAGGAGTTCTGGCAAATTTCTCACTTAAAATTCCAGGAGCAAAATGGATCCAGAGGTAAGAGTATAATAGTTGAAAACTTCATTTTATTACTGCTCCCAGGACTTCTTTCATGTAAGTCAAGCCATTAGAATTCACTTTTTATTATTAAGCCCATTCCTATATGCTAAAAAATCAGCACGTGTTACTTTCTCCTGCCACATGTTCCATAGATTTGGAATTGAATTATTCCATGAATAAACAGAAGTAACCATTTCTGTAGATAGTGAGCAATTTTCTGGATCACTAGACGCAAAATCCATTTCTTTTGTCTGTAAACATAATCAGATAGATAATATTATTTGTATGAAGAGCATGGAACTGGGATTCATTAAGCCAGAGGGAGTGGTGTAAGGAACATGAGATTAAAATACACTTACTTGAATTTGTATTTCTGATGTAGACCCACTTGGGTAAGCTCAAAAAATCACTTTCCCTCTCCAGGTTTCCAGATTCCCATACACGAAACATCCTGGATAAATCATCTCTTAATTTTTCTCTAGCCCTGTCGATCTGGGATATTATCAACCTGAAATAAAATGATTTTTTCTCAACTGAGACCTTATCAGTATGTATTACATATTTAGCAGATAAAATCCAGTTAATCAGTTACAAGTACAATGCCAATTACAACAGTACACTTCACAGCATATTTTTCTGGCATCATACTACTCTTTGCATTCCTCTTTAGCTGCAGCTTTTGCTAGTATTTCTGAGAAACACCTCATGAATTTAGCCTTCTGGGGCAGGGAGGAGGAGGGGAAATAAATCTCATAAG